AAAATCCTCTCCAAAAAAAAAAGTATAAAATAAAACAAAGGGCAGTAAGAGTCTTGCTAGAAAAACCGAAGTGAGGCCAACAGCGTGGTCACAGAGAGCATGAAGGCGAGGCAGAGCAGCCTCTCGCGTAGAGCTGTAGGAACTCACAGGCCAGAGCACATTCAGCAACGCCTCTGGAGAAGAGCTGGAGGCTGGCTTCTAGAACTGGGCGGCATACCTCCTGAGACTCTCCATTTCCCGGCCCCATGGGGTGCTGTTGGGCTGCACAGGGAGTCCTGGGGCTTCAAGAAGGACCTGGCGCACTGGGTGCGTGCCTAGAAGGCCTTGGCAGACTGTTAGGGACGGCTGGCATGCAGCTCGAAAAGGAGCGTGAGCTTGCCACCAGCATGGCTCTCCGAGAAGCTCGTGCTGAGCTCTGTTCACCCCTCTGTGACAGTCCCCTGGGGTGGCCGAGGGGACTTGTACCAAGGCTGGCCTACCTAGCAGGATGTCTGGCCACCACAGTGTCCTCGTGGGACACAGGAGGGAAGTGGTGGCGAGGTGGTGTGAGGATCTGTACTCAGGAGCAGCCCTGGGTAAGGAACGGACCTGGGTCCGTGTGGACTGGGGCTGGCCCGTGTGTCCCAGAGGGGTGTGCTGGGTCCGTGTGGACTGGGGCTGGCTGTGCATCCCACAGCGTGTGCTGGGTCCGTGTGGACCAGGCTGGCTGTGAGTCCCACGGGGTGTGCTGGGTCCGTGTGGACTGAGCTGGCTAGTGCGTCCCACAGGGACTGCCCCGTCTGTCCTGTCCTGTCTGTGCAGGTGGAAATGGAGCTCTCTCTGAGCATGCCCACCCTGTGTTCTGATGGAGAGGAGGCAGGATGGTGGGATGGACCAGACATGGCCGAGAGGGCTGTACAGATGCAGGCATGACCCTGGGCTGAGGAGGGGCTTGGGGTAGGGCGCTGTGCCGTGTCCCATGGCAAAGCCCTGGGGCATGGTGGGGCCAGCTTGGCCTGACCTGTCCACCGCAGAGCCAGCACACTCCAGGGCTCTGGGAAAGTGACCCCAGTCCTGAGAGATGGCCAAGCCGCTCCCCCAGCTGGGTGCTGGGCCCCCAGAGGACACGGCAACACCCTGTCACCCCTCCCCACTGGTCCTCTCTGGCCCTTAGCACAGACATGGCGGCCTTCCCCGACTCATCATGGGGTGCCTCATCGGGTGTGGGTGCCACACCCAGGGCAGACCTGAGGAGGGACGGACCGGGCCGACTCTGTCCTCAGGCTCTCCTGCTGCAGCTGGGCATGCCGAGGCCCCCTCCGTGCAAGGCCGTGCTCTCTGATCCTAGGTGGCCATTATTTGGTCCCTGTGGCACCGATGAGCAGGGACAGTGCCGGGCACACTGCGGCAAACGCTCTGCAGCGTGGCTGCGTGTGCGGGCTTAGACCGTGCCCCAGAACTGCTGCTGTGCAGACATCAAGGGAACGAGGCCAGAGAGCCCCACCTGCCCCCGGCTCCCCAGGTCGCTCCACAGTGTCCTGCCCGTGCTTTTCGCTGGACCATGCCTGTCCGGCCCTCCTTCCTGGGGCTGTGGTACCTTCAGGAGGGCTTCGGGGCATTGGCCAGACCATCTTCCAAGTTTTCTCCAGAGGCCGGCGCCTGCCCCTTCCAGAGGTTCCAACGTGGAGCCTCCCGACCTGTTGGCAGGAGCAGCAGAGAAGCCCAGGTAGCAGTGAGGACTCGCCACCCTCCCTCAGCTGACCTCTGACAGCTGCTGCCTGACACGTGGCCACAGGGTCTCACCACGAGCACACGGGCGGCGTCTACAGCACACCCCACCCGCGACGTGGTCAGGTCCAGGGTATGACATGGTACATGAGCAGCGTCTACAGCACATCATACCCGCAATGTGGTCGGGTCCAGGGTACAATGTGGCACTCGGGCAGCGTCTACAGCACACCCCACCCGCGACGTGGTCAGGTCCAGGGTATGACATGGTACACGAGCAGCGTCTACAGCACACCCTGCTCGCGACGTGGTCAGGTCCAGGGTACAACATGGCACTTGGGCAGCGTCTACAGCACATCCCACCCGCGACGTGGTTGGGTCCAGGGTACAACGTGGCACTCGGGCAGCGTCTACAGCACACCCTGCCACAACGTGGTCAGATTGCAGAGATGTGCTTTTAGAATCTTGGAGGGGCCCATGGTGGCACCGTGGGAGATGTGCTGCCCTGTGAGGCCAACCAGGAAGGAAGTTTAGGGTTTGCACCTGGAGACGTCCCTGACCACCGGGCACGAGTGCATCTGGGCTGTGCAGCTGCCGAGGCTGGGAGTGGACCGTGGCTCAGAACCCTGTGGGAGGTACTGTCGCTGTGTTTCTGTCTCCCTCTCTTGCTCATGGAAAAATAAATAACTTAAAAAGACAGAATGGGGGGGGCAACAGATGGCATAGTGGTTAGGTCACTGAACTCCCACGTGGCCGACTGTGGTTTGAATCTTAGACTTGGTGGCTTGAAACTCACAGCAGGCATGGTAGTATGCATAAGACCCCGGGTGGAAAATGGAGAAGGAATTGTGGGGTGGCCATCCCCAGGGGGGTGATTTCTCACTTTCCCTCTGACTCTCTCTCTGGTGAGTGCATATACTCCAAGGTATAAACCTCTGCAAATAAAAAAATAAAATCGAGGAACTGTGACGTGGTGAGACCCCACGTCCAGTGTAAACGAAGCCCACACAGAGAGCTGGAGCCCGGCCATGCCACTTGGTAGAGCTCGTTTTCACTTTTTCGGAAAACCTGTGAGTCAGATATTAAACACGGCCGTTGTGAAACATCAAATGACTCGAACTTGCAGTCTAATGAGCTGTGAGGAGCAATGGGTAGGCGCAGGCTCTCCCTCCAGAGTCCTTTCTCACTGCCGCTGTCCGGCTGGGAGCGTGTGCGTACACACGTCTGTGGGTGGATCTGCCGGGACGCAGGGCTCCGCCACGGCTGCATATGGGCGCAGCAGTCGGAACTCAGCGGAAACCCGCCCGGGGACCGAATGTGTGGGACAGCTGGCGGGTGGCCTCCCAGAACAGTGCGCGTTGCCGTCCCCTTGGGCAGAGGACAGGAAGTGCTGACACGCACCTGTCCCTGGCTGGGACAGGGAGAGCCTCGGGGTGGCAGGGCCGGCTCGGCGCATCCTGCAGCACCGCACACCGAGGGTCTTGGGGGCTCCACCAAACAGTCTGATCTGGAGCCAGGAAGACGTGGAGGCTGAGAACAGAGCCCTTGGACGGGCTGCTCAGCCGGAGCCGGGCACACGCAGCATGGGCCGGCGAGTCGGCCACGGCCGACTATGAATTACGGTTACTAGAGCACCATCGCCCCCGCGGGGCTGTGCACACCCTCGGCCTAGGAGCTGCAGGCACCTCCCCAGGGTGTCTGCAGACCTGGCTGCACCGGGCCGGGCCCCGCTACTGGTGGGCTGCTCTTAGTTAATGTGCTCAGGACCAATGACCTGGCGGCTTTTAAATCCCACTTGTATGTACTTACCATTTCTCGGCCCATTTTTAGAAATGTTTTTAAACCAAGGTAAAATTCACATATCATAAAGTTAACCATTCTTTAATTAATTTACTTTTTATTATAATTTCTTTTTTACACATTCGATCACTGTACACCACTCGGCTCGTACAGAGCTCACTATTGCCCCAAGTAGCTCGGCCTTCATCAAACGCCCCAGTGACCGTTGACACGCCGTCTCTGCAAAGCCTGCGCGCCCTCCGCGGCTGTGTGTGTGCATCTCCTGCATCTGCGAGTGCTCGTGCTCCAGCCCAGAGCGGCGGGGGGGGGGGGCACACACAGAACAGG